ACGGAGATTCATACAAAATTATCGTCGACGAGCTGACGAAAGAAATTGGGACCTACTTGGGTGGTCTAACGCGACCGAACACGATTCAAGCTTCCTCATCGGTGTTTTTCGGGCACATTCGAGCCAATTTCGGTTACCGAGTCGCACGACCGGATGCCTAATGAATAGCGTTTAATTAAAGCCTATAAATCCTCACTCGCTCGGCCGAGCGAGTCCTGTTTGAAACGGAACACACGGTTTCGGGATAAGAAGAAAAAAACGAGAACCGATCGATACGCTGTCGCGAGACGGTCGACAAGATTTTCAACCGTGCGATAAAATTTCAGGAATGTGTAGCGCTCATTTAGATACACGGAATTTGGCCATGGTGGTAACTTTGGCTTCTGTTAGTGCTCGAGGAACCTTGTAAACGTGCTTCTCGATTAATTCGGAAACCCCTAGAGGCTGTTTTACGATGTCGCACAGCAACGCGCACCGAAATGCTTGTTGCTGGATGGACGCTTAATAAGTCTCGAATCCTGTGAAACGTTTAGCGACGTTACGTATGGAAATCATTCGTCGAATCACGCTGAAACGGTCGAGCGCGGTTACGTTCACGGAAACGCTATAGAATTATATCAACGTTACAATTTATAATGGCCGCGCCGTCATTAATTACCGTCGTCATCTTATCGGCAATTTATTTGATAACCTTCTACAAGCGAATGCACTTAATGAGCCGAGATGTTTAATAGTTTTTTACACGGAGCAAAACCGGATAGAGCAACTTTAGAGCACCTCGCCCAGTCGTAAAATCCTACACAAAGTCTCGGGGCGCGAACATGATGACGCAATATGGGATTCCTGTAGGAGAAAAACAAAAGTGCGTATGCACCGAATAAATTCTGCTGGAACGGACGGTATGTACATTGGTAACGGGTATCGTGGCTCTCAAAGTCATATAAGATCGCGAACACCGACGAATATTTATGCAAATGAAAGCGTAAAACGTTGGCGATACAATTTACCTGGTCATTACCGTACGGTTTACTATCACACAGAGCGCCCCGGTAAACCAGGGGAACAGTTAATGCGTCTTCTCATGAAGCTGCATCTAGGAAGAGACTTTTAATTGCAACCACCGTGCGCAACAAATAACTCCCCTTGGAAAGATTAAACATCGAGTTCTCGTAATCGCGGCAAGATGCTACAGCAACTAATTAATTAATGCTGTCCGTTCGTAAGTTTGGGACCGCGTATCGCTTTGCTCCGATATCGATTTATAACGCGTGAAATGTTTGCTCGTAGACATGGAGGAAAATATCATTTACACGCTACTTCTGCGTATTTCTGCCACATATTTCACGCGATAAAATTGTTTCTCACTTTATTTCGTAAATTGTCGACAAGAGTCTCGATTGTAACCGAGAGACTTTTCATTTGCAAATCAACGGTTGTCCTACAAAGCTAAATCGTTTATGTATATTCGCAAGCCACGAAAACACAGAACGAGTAATATCGATCATGCAGATCTGCCGCGACGCAAACAGAAACGAAAGATTTTCTTCTTGGTCTATTTTCGAGATCGTCGTCTCCGGAAAACAGTTTCGTTCCAACGAGACACGAGCTGTTGCATTAACAGGTTACAGCTGAATGAGCGAGAAATTGCCGCTTAGCGGATACAAAGAGAAGGAACGAGACTCAAACGATACTCAACAGAATCATCACCGATATCGCGAAAACGTGAGAGAGAAAGAGAGAGATAGATGTTATTTTAACTCGAATTCACGCGCCGAAAGAGTTACGAGCAATCCCCCTTGCCATTATTTGTCCTTTATTATGCCTCGATAAAATGGATACGTATCTTGAAACAAAAGCATGCGAAATATTCCTGTTGTGGGAATAAAAAATGATAATGAACGAGCAACCATGTATCCGGTGTGTCACTCGGTGGATGGCTTGCAAACGAGTCGAGGAGAATCGATTCGACACGTTCTCCGGGAGGGTTGTATGAAGAAAGAGAAAGAAAAGGGAACGGTAAGAGGACTCCACCCTTTTTGCGGCCTAGGGGCTCCACTGGTCCTTTTTCCTTTCTGAGAGCCACTGTGGATAATTGGAACCGCACCCACGAACTCGTGGTTCGAGCCTCAGCCCTTGTGAATGTCTCGCTTTTTCTTTCTTACCTCTCCTTCTCTATTCCACAGCCTTTCTCGGTATCATAAAATACCTTAAAACAATGCATGCGCCAGCAACACTCGTCTAAATAGAAATCTTTTGTGCTCGACGAGGCAAGAAAATCGTTTCCGTCTTTCGTTTTTAAACTTGCTTGCAAACACACCGGTGGTTCTCGTGATTCAAAATACAATCTACCTGAATGTCTGTGCGCAATCACTCGATTAAATGGATACCATTCCGATAATAAATATTCCGATAATTATAGCCTTTAACTTCCTTGTATCTTTGTCTAAGTCAACGAACGTGTATATTTCTTGATTGTATCAGTGACATCACATTTGTGTACGTGAGATTCGATAAATAACAAAGCAACGTTATCGATACTTTCGTAGTATGTGTAATATATATTTACTTGTTTCATATATGTATAAAGTAGAACATTTGCCAATCAACATGCACCATTTAGAAATGTAAATGCAATAGTTTAACCTTTTTTATAGAAGAGTTTTTTTTAATTTCTTTTCACTTTAAAAGAAAAAAATGGCTTCAAGAACATTTGTATGTCAAAGATATATATCGAATTATAATGAGGTAGGAAAATCGAATTTTCATGTAACGAAACATGTTTGCGTAAATCATTCAGCGTGTCGCGATCCATCGGACGAATCAAATGCAGATTCCAGAGGAACAAAGAAATCGAGTATAAAGTAACATCATCTTAATAATATAACAAGATATAATTAGATTATAGTTATAATTAGAATGTGTCACAAATTCAATTCAACAGAGACGATATTTCTGTTTGTCGAAATGACACGTCGTCAACGGATGAATCTAGTTCACCGTCCAGCAAACAAGAGGAGAATTCGATGTAATGTTCATAATTGTTACTGAATTGAATTGACGATATAGAAAATTAAAATTAAAATTTGTCACAAATTTTATTTTTTCAATTTTCCCATTAAAAAAAAAAAAAAGAAGCTGTGGGACAAAAGAGTCATTTGCGTCAAGCTGCAAGTGTTGCAACATCACGGAGGGATCAGATCCTCTGGCCGAAGCGATGTTTAAACAGTTTCCCAGGTAATGTCTCTTATAACGACGACGAAATCCGAAAAAATGACAGAGATTGAGAAAAGCAATAGAAAATGAAAAAGAAAGAAAATCGGAAAAATATGGTTCGTAGAACACAATACACAAACGAGTCTCGCAGACACTGGGAAATGATGGTGCACTGCGAGAGGGCCGCGTTTCCAAGGGCAGCGTCGAATTTGCCTCTGCCCTCGAGCGAGGTACGTATATCACCGGAGGAAACCCGGCGAATTCAAAAGCCGAGAACTCAATTAACCCGAACGGCTAGAACTCAATTACGAATGTCGGTCGGCGGGAACATGCGGTGGCTGGTAATTAAAAAGTTATTATGCCCAGGCCCGTTTCTACTGGCACTTATACTCAACCGCGGTGAAAAATTCGCACTTCTACCAGAGACAAGTGAATCACGCTCTGCTCGTTACATTGGCCAAGTAAGAATCTAATAACGGGTTAATCGAACCGATATCATTTATTTCATTTTTAATCGATAAATTTAGATGCTTGACAATTCGTCAAGTTACTTCTCTTTCTTCTATTCTATATGCGATAAATCCAATCTTTATGAATAAATCAAATATTAAATTTTATAATCATTTCGCGCTTCAATCGATAAATAACAGAACAACGAACGATTTATATAGATAGAATTGAAAATTATTGAACATCTCTAATTCAAAAATATAACTTTCAACGTTGTAGACTTTTGCATAGCGAAAAACAGAAGAGAGGCATGAGCATCTGGGCACAATTAATCCGTTTGCAGACGTTCGATCGAATTGGCCGGAAAAATTTAATAACACATCTGGAACGGCTCATCCAGTAAATTAATATTCTATATTAATAAAGATAAACTTTAGCGAAAATAATTTGCTAAAACAGTGCTGAAACTTATTGCTTTAAACTGCATTAAACCTATAATGCATTGTAGCAAACAGACTAGATTGGAATCTATTTGTCTGGAAGGTTTATCGTTAACGCCAGACGAGGGTGTACGACTGCTATTGGCATTGTACAACTCCCGTAAAACAATGAAATATGTGCATTGTTGGCGCGCGTTCGAGAAAATGGTAAGCCTCGCGAGAGATGCTGACCATCGTGGTGAATCAAGATTTTACGCGGACAAAAGAATCAAGATATGCGATTGGTTTCGCGCAATCGGCTGTTTAGAGTTTCTCACCACCCTATCCGTAAACTACGCATATATAGCAACACCCACGGGAGATCTGCTCGTCAGTTTGGCCAAGTATATTGACTACTTAATCCTCTATATTATTTTAATCGTTGCAATATTAGTCCAATTATAAGGTGAATTTTTTCATCTTGCCTACGTCATCGAAATGCAATAATGGCGGATTGCTTGTTAGAAAATATAAATGCAGTTTTACATTTAATCAATGTTATACAATTTTTAATGGTATCATTGAAAAAGCATAAATTTACCTTAGAATCCAATCGTAGAAAACTTCGAACAAATTGGCACTGGTTGCAGCTACTGTGTTTAGAAGAAGAAATTTTGCAGAAAACTGAAAATGGACGTGATATTGAGACGATCGTGATACCAGATACCGCTTGGAAAGCAACTCATTTTTGGGCACCAAAACTGAAAGTACAATATGCTATTAGTACGAAACAATTTCATAATAACTAACATGTCAAAAAGAAAACGTACACAAAAAGTAGTTTCTTTTATTTTTAGTTGGAATACCACAATACGACGTTCACAAGAAATTTTTCACGAAGCAAACCCGGATACATACGTTCACACTATCGACGAGTATCGATTTGAGATTTCGACAACCGTGGTATCTCGACTGCACGATTAAAACACTTTGTGCGTGGTATTCGAATAGTTTAGGTAATTGAAATCACGAAATTACTTGTATTTAAAATAATTAAGCATTTTATGCTTTTCTTTTTACTTTAAATCACTTCAAATTATAACTTTTTCTCGTTATTTTCTGACTCGTAAACCGACTTTAAAATTTGAAACGCGAATCGTTCTACGCCACCTATGAATAGTTAGTGGTACTAATTCTCTTGATCGATAAGTATTCATCTGATTATTGATATCGATTACGTGTTTGAATTACTTTTCACATTTCTGTAATTTTGGAATTCAAATAATCATTATTGTTGTTGTACAGTATGCTTATGCCTGCAGCTATGGCACAATCGACAGAATTTGGATAATCAACTAAGACACCTCTTCATTTATTTACCATCACTACGATTTTTCGAATTTATCGGTGAAATTCGAACGTTGAAAACACTTTGTGCTATGTGCTGTCAAATACGATCTGGTCGTTGCAGTAATTATTTAATATACACGATATAAATTAAAATATATAAAATAAATCGGTGACTATCAATTTTTGTTCTTCAGATGTTCGTCGTGTTAATATGCAACTTCAAGATATTATACATGATAGTTCGGATAAAGAAAAATGGATCAAGTACGTAAGATGTATGATGATTTGTTTTAAATACGATTTTGACAGAATGGGTGTTAAATTTGATATCAACTTTTATTGTTGCTGATCAAAATTCATATACCTCATATCAAAAAGTTGCAAAAGTCAAAATTTCCGTTTTATTAGCAACATACATATAATTATTTGTTTAGCAAAATAACATAAACGTTAATGCATATAAAATGCACATTATATAAATGCAAAATAAAAATTACTAGTATAGTAATTTCTTTATATATTTATATTGCAAATTACTTGTCCGATATATTTTATTCAATATATATTACTGTACTTCTGTTGTTTCTTGCTGCTCAAATTTGGGATATTTTTGTTCAACTTCCAACCATGTAAGTTTACCATTAGATAAATCTCTTACCACACTTGGAATCTCATCCAACTGTAATTCAAATGATTTAATTTTCGTAAATTTTACATTCCTATGTTTCAAAAATTGCAAAATGCTTACTTACATTTATTCTAACTTGACCCATGCTGTCTCGTTCACGAAGTGTAGCAGTATGAGGTGTTTTCAAAGTATCAAAATCTATGGTGATACCAAATGGTATTGCAATCTCATCTGTCCGTGCGTATCTACGTCCAATACTACCGGAAGAATCATCAATTTTATGCGAAACATCTACTTTCGTGAGATTCTGGGCTATATGTAAGTAATATTTATATAAGTATAATATAAATTTTTCAAAATTCAAAATATACACATGTATTTTGAAAAAATAGAATACATACATAAGTGTTTTACAAATGGTACAAATTCACTGTTACCACTCAGTGGTAACACTGAACACTTTAAAGGAGCCACAATTGGTGGAAAACTGAAATAAGTTCGTTTCTCATCTCCTTCCCTTGCTTTAAAATTATGTTCAAAGATAGCATACATAATACGACCAATACCAAAAGATGGTTCAATTACAGAAGGAATTATTTCTTCTACATGCACTGTCTTTTGATATCTTTTCACTTCAATCATGTCTTTTGTAATTTTTACTGTAGTACCATTTGAAAGCTTTAATTCAGTTTCTCCATTTTCATTAATTTCAGTTTCCAAGGCATTAATATTACTCTCACATAATGCTGCTAAAGCATCTTGTACTAATTTACTATCTTTTTTAAACGTTTTCCCAATAATAACTTTATTTGATACTACTTCACATACATCAAGATTTTTTGGTGCTGACAATTTTTTTTCTGCTACTAACTTTATTCCAGTGGCTTTCGTATGTTGTGTAAGATCATAGGCAGAACGATCTGCACAACCAACACATTCTATCCAACCATAAGATGTTAAACATTCAGCATCCCAACAATCACACGCATAATGCGCCATTTCATTTCCCATGTGTTGACGGAAACGTAATCTTTTTGGATCAATTCCAACTTTAATTAAAAATAAATAAATTCTGCCCATAAAATATCCTAATGTTTCATTGGCTATAAGTTTATTTAATACAGCATCACCTAAAGTCATATGTTGTGCACTTTTTCCATCCATTTGATTACAAGCAGAATACAAAAGTACACTCAAATCTTTAACATTTTCAAATTTAGGATTATTTTTATCATTAGGATCACAAAAATGTTCTATTTCTGCCATAGTAAATTCTCTCACCCTTAATAAACCAGATCTAGGAGAAATTTCATTACGGAATGCGTTTCCAATTTGAGCTGCAGCAAATGGTAGCCTATCTTGATTAAATGCAAGCAATCGTTTAAAATTTACAAAAATTCCTTGAGCAGTTTCTGGTCTTAAAAATCCTTTCACAACTCCAGAAGGACCAATTTGAGTTCCAAACATTAAATTAAATTCTATTGGTTCTGTTAAATCATTGCCAGTGATTGGAGACTTTATATTAAATGTAGACATAACTGTTGCCATTTCATCCTTGGTCATTCCATCCAATTTAATAATAATATCTTTACATTTTGCACTTACATTTTCGTCAGTTTTTTTATCACTAATCACTTTTTCTAAATGTGATTTAATTAAATGATCTAATCTAAAACATTCTCCACTTTTTGTATCTTTCACCATTAAATCTGCAAATCTTTCCACATGTCCAGATGCTTGAAGTACAGGTTCTGGTGTTAAAATAGAACAATCTACTTCTAACATTTGTTCTTCTAATATAAAAAAGCTTCTCCATGTATTTAATAAATTCGTTTTTAGCGCACAGCCCATAGGACCAAAATCAAATTGTCCACTAATTCCTCCATAAATAGCAAAGGATTGGTCAAAAAAAAATCTACGTTTTAGAAGATCGTCCATTCTTGCCCTATCAAATTCCATTGTTTCTGAAAGAGATAGTTCCTTTTCTTCCAACAATTTCTTCCGAAGTTTAAGCTCAACAACTGCTTTTTTAATGTCCAGTTCTGGAGCAGCATCAGATTTAAGTTTTCGCACATAGTCACCCTTTAACCATAAAAAAATAATAATATTACAATATAATACTAGCATTAAATAAAACAAATGCAACAGAAAAAATAATACAAAATTGAATTAAGGCATTTAATGATAAACAAACTTCTATGATAGTAAAAATTATATATTTAGTATAAAAATATATTAAAATCTATTACATATTGACTAAATCTTTTGTCAAATCTTATCCATATGGCACTTACCTGTTCCTTAACACTATTCCGTAAAGGAGCTAGGATATCTTCAATTTTTTGATCCGACATACCCTGTCTAATTGGTATTTTCACTTTACGATTCTTTTTAGTTATACCCCACTTATTAAAATCACCTAACCTAACGGTGACAGTAAATCTCCGTAATAGCTGTTTATAAATTGAGTTATGCTTGTACAGACCACGTGTAGCTCTTTTGCAAAGAAGCTGCAAATTACGTGAGACAAACTGCATTTACGTTACTTTTCACTTTACCGACTTTCAAATGCTCGACGGTAATGCCTTTTGTTTCAATCACTTAATTTTGCATAATACGACACTGTTGGCGGTAAAATTGATAAAATTTGAAACTATGTAAACTATGTAACTTAAGTTCAAAGTAAAGAAAATAAAATAAAACTTCAGAAACTTATCATCATATATGTTATCAAATAACATAATTATAATATTCACGTATTTCAAATAATATAATATAAAAAAGTTAAATAAAATATAATTTATGGATACGTACATATTGCTGTACCCCTTTTTATATTTGAAATATAATACCAATATAAACCATTATAAACCATAATTAAATAAAAACCATTTTTTATCTATAACGATATTCTTATATTTTTTCATGAAGAATATATTTTAAAACAAATAACATTATATAGAATAAAAAAAAAAGAAAAAAATACACAACATGTCGCGTATACGTAAGTATAAGTATATTACTTCTTTTTTTATTAAATTAGTATAGCTTTATCAAACTAACTTACTTGTTACAAAAAAATTATTTCTCTTAATTTCGAACGATTTTATTTTCTTTGTACACTGTAGCATGGCTTATAGAAAAATTACAATCAGAGAAAAATTATTTATAAAAAAAAATATAAGATTTTCTCCTATAAATTGAATTGTTAATTATAACTTTTCAATAAACTCATGACATTATGTGTGACATAATAAATCACATAATATGTATAAAGAAAAGTGTGTAATCAAGAATATTTTGTTCATGTTACCATAAGGATATTAAAATTTGTATGTGTAGATTCATTTTTTAATTACAACCTTAACCTTTTTAACATACAAGTATTAAGTTTTTTATTCTACGCATCTACATGCAAACGTTAATTTCAAGTCAAACGGTTGGTCAGAGACGTAAGAATAAACGTCATACAAACAATTATATATATTTATATATAATTATATATATATATATA